GTCAGCAGCTTTAGTGATCGCATTAAGGTAATCTAGTTGGCAGGTGTTGCAAGATTTATTATATATATATATATATATATATATTATTATATACCGGCATACATTCAGTTCAGTTCACTTTGCACCGGACGATGTGTGGCCCTGGCCAATCATGTGTCCAGATGGGTGTTGTTGGCTGATCTTGTGGCTTCCAATACTGCGAGTCAATAGGTGTTGTCTGAAAGACAGAATTTGAGGTGCAGCATCACGTCCCAGGCAATGGCGCTCAGGACTAATAAATACTTACCTTTAAACTGTTTCACGGAATATAGAAGCCCAGAAGTCATCCAATGCCCTCCTAAAGGCTATGACGTTCGAGCAACTTGCCACGTCTTCGGGTAGACTATTCTAGTAAGGTATTGCGCGACTTGTAAAGAACTTGGATCGAATGTCCAACCTTACAAGATTACGTTGCAGCCTTAAACTATGTCCCTTAGTGCCACTTGAAGGGATGAATTGGAACATGTCTTCAAACTTGAGTCTGGAGATATCGCGCTACTGCCCCACGTTGCAGCCTTGAACTATGTCCCCTAGTGCCACTTCAATGTTCAATGTTCAACGTTCTTCCATTAGAAGCAGTGGGAAACTTCCCGTATGAGTCTCATCACCAATGTCTCGAAGAATGCATTCAGGACTGATCTGCATACCAAATTTCGCGAAGGACGCTGCCGAGCTTCCTCTGGAATATATTGTCATTTACCTCATCCACCACATCAGCTGGAAGGGAGCTCCATAGTTTGGTTACCCTGCGTCATAGTCGGTACCGAAGAGGTAATCCTATCGACGTAAGCTGCAGCGGTGTATTTCTATGTCCACGCACATATATAATGTCACTCCATACCCGGAGGTATGACTTGGGGAACAATCCAGGCGATCGTTTAGTGTAGCAGCACCCAAGTAATCCGGCAATCATGTGAGTGGCAGCTCGTTGGACCCTCTCCAGTTTCACAAATTCGGCAGTTGTGCACGGATAAACCTCTGCGCTCGCGAACTCCAAACGAGGTCTGACATGGGAGGTGTACAGTGCCCTGAAACCATCGTATATGAGCTTGGAAAAGGAACGGCGAATGGCCCCAAGGATTCTCCGATTCAAGGCGCAGGCTTTGTTTGTCTACTCTCTGGTTTTTAAAGACGCGGAAACCAGCACCTTGAGATCCCGTTTGCATGCGGATGCCAGTAATGGAGTGTCCATAAGGTGGTACACTCTTGAACTGAGCTGCCGGCCAATGTGCATATAATGGCACTCCGTAGGGTTGATGCGTAAATCTCACGCTCTTGACCAATGCATCAAAGAATACAGGCCTGTCTGCAGGGTGTTCACGTCACTTTCTGACTGGATAGGTCTCCAGATCTTCAGATCATCCGCGTACAACAGATATTCCGATTCCAGGCATTTCGGCAGGTCACTGATGAAAAGCAGAAACAGTATTTGCCCCAGTACCGATCCTTGCGGAACGTCACTAGAAGCCGTGAACCATGATGATTGTGCCCCTGACGCCTTCACCGAGAATAGTCTGTCTCTCAGAAAGTCCTCAACCCAGGAGAGTGGCGGTTCCTGGATGCCTATTGACCTCAATTTGATCATTAGTTTCGAATGAGACACCATATCAAACGCTTTGCTGAAATCCACGAACACAACATCCGTGGAGTAACCTCCAGCTTTAGACTCCGCCCAATGCTCACGCACCAACAGGAGATTGTATAAACCGGAACGGCCCCGTCGAAAGCCATGTTTTCTAGAAGAAATACGATGTTGCGCCTCCAGGTGAACGATAATGTGCTTTGTCACTAATTTTTCTAGCCATACAAGTTAAGCTCACGGGCCGATATTTGATCGGGGCACGCTTATCACCACCTTTGAACAAGGGAACAACCAGCGCTTTCTTCCAGTTTCATGCTAATCGGCCAGTCTGGAGAGGCAAGTTGAACATTTGGGCTAGCAGGGGTTGATACGACATCGGCCAGCTCCTTCAGCACCAACGGATGAACTCCATCTGGACCCGGAGATTGGTATTGACGAATGGCACGTAGTACCTTGGCGACGTCACTGGCTTCCAGACAGGGGGCACTGATTGCAAGCACGTTAGGAGGGTGCAAACACAAAACCCGACGAGGGAGTG